AACTGGGAGGCCCAGGCGATGCAAGGAGCGACAGCCACGAACTGAAGCAAAAACAGAATAGAGACGCAAAAACTAACGAAAAAGGGGTGGAGTGGCATAATAGCACGCATAGAGTAGAGGCAACTGAGAAAAGAGAATGGGATCGAAACGAGTAAAGGGGAACAAGAGAATAGCAGGCCAGCAGGTAAGGGCCAAAAACTAGAAAGAGGGGAAGCGACATGGGAAAAAGAGAGTCGAGGAGAGAAAAGGTAGGCAGAGCTAGCTAGGAGTTAACAAAAGTAAGAACCAGCGAAGCACACACGCCGGAAGAGCGAGTAAAAAAGGCAAGACAGGAAGGGGACCAGAAACGCAGGGGGACGAGACGAAAAAGGATGACAAGATAGGACCCGAAAACAATAAGGCAAGGAGGGCAATTGAGCGTCAAAGGAAGGGCACGCCAATGAGCGATAGATAAGTAAGAGAAGAAGTCCACGCAGAAGGGTGAGAAAACAAACGATCCGGCAGGGAAAGCAGAGAAGAGCTGGAGAAACAACAGCGAGGTAAGAGGAACCAAGCCGTGAAAGGGATGGGAAGAATCTTAGAAGCACCAAGAGTAGGGGGCCGCGAGACGGGTCTGAATCAGGGGGGACCCAAGGAGAATGAGGGGGTGCACAAGAGGCGTAAGCGGAGGAAGGGTAAAAAGAGGGAGACGGAAGAGGGACAAGAAGGCGCCACCTCGCAAGATGGGAGGAAGAAGGAAGAGCGGAACAGCGTAAGCGGGAAGGGAGACGCGAGCGGCGGAACGTAGAAGAGGGGGAGAAAAGGCAAGAGGTTTAAGTGGGGCCGGAAAAGAGACGAAGGAAACAGGCGCCAAAAGGCAACCCTGACTGTCCGAGGCGTAAAGGCAGAAGGAGCGGACGAAAAAAGAGGTGCCAGGAGGAAGCATGAAGAGAGGGCAGGTAGTCAGAAGGGAGAGCGAAAAGGATAAAGCACAAGAGGGCATGATCGGCAGCGAAGGAGAACTTGCAGGGGTGCAGGTGACAGGTAACACGCAGAGATCCGAGCGCCAGAACGGGCGAGGGAAGGCGGGATAGTCAGAGAACATGGATGAGAGGATCCAAGAAAAAGTGGCAACAAAGTGGGGAGTAGGACGCAGCAGGGCAACCGAGCACATGAGCGGGGAAGGAAGCAGTGAAGGAAAGAAAAAAGAGTAAAGACGAAAAGCTGCGTAAAGGAAACAAGCTGGTAAAGGCTAAGAGACAAGTGACAAAAAAAAAAAACAAAGCGAAGAGACGGAGGCGGCAAAAGAGAGAGAAAACACGGACAAAACGAAAAAGAAACGAGGGGGGAGGAGGCTCGGAGGAGTCGAGAAAAGCTAGATGAGTATAAGAGAAGAAAAGAAGTAGGGGAACGGCCGCAAGGAAAGCAAGGATAGCAGGACCACTAAGCGAAGGGAAAGAAGGAAGAAACGGCGGCGGTAGAAACACAGAGGGGAAGGTAGTTCGGCAAGGAAAGTGAAGGGGGACAAAGGGGAAACAGAGACGGTCATAATAGAGGAGAAGTATACCAAGAAGACAAAAAGGTGGAGCGGGGGGGCTGCCGTGCCAAACAAAAAAACATGGGAGGAAGAGAGAGAGAAGGAGGAAACAGACGAGGAGAGCAGACGATGGCAGGGAGGAGGGCAGAACACTAGAAAAGGAAGAAGGAGACAGTCGCCATGGATGTGAAATTTCCCGAAGAGGGCATAGAAGGATCAGAAGGCGAGGGGAGCAGGACAATGAAAAGGGGGGGGCCAACGGCAATAAGGACGCTCCGGAGAGAGAGACAGGGGACCTGGGTACGAGGCCAAAGAGGAGCAGTGGCGAGGAGATGCGACGAAGCGACGAAAAAGATAAGCGAAAACGAAGAGAGGTGCGCCGAAAGGAAACCACAGACCAAAACAGCGAGCTAAAGACAGCAAAAATAACAAAAGTTAAAGCCGACAAGGAGAAGGCAGTAAGGAAGGGGACGAGCGCAGAGGCAGCAGCGCAAGTGGGAAGTAAATAACGGAAGCACAGGGGGACAGGAAGAGAACAAGGAGTAGCGCGAAACAAACCGGAACAACGCAGGCGACTTGGACCCGGATAATAATAGAGAAAGCCGGGGCCAAAGAAGAAGAATAAACAAGGCCAGAAAGGAAATGGCGAGAGAGGGAGCGGGAAGTAAGTCAAGATATCAGCCAAGGATAAGAAGGCAGGCGTGGTAAGCGGGGGGGGGCAAGAGGAGCATAAAGAATAGCCCCAAACAAGCAAAGAGTGATGAACGAGTAAGCGGGGAAACACAAGCGCACGGGGCGACGGACGTACGGCAGAGAAAGAGAAAGCGAAGAAACGACAGCGTCATTCTGCCGGGACAGGAACTTCAGCGAATCTCAAAAGCAGGTCAGAACGACGCTAAATAAGAGAGCTTAACTAACGATACTCAATAGTAAGGCTGCCACGCGGACGACGAAGCGACAAACAGCGTAGACGTGTCCTTAGGAAAACAGTCCCCAAAGGAAAATACACACGAAAGCGAGGATAAGAAGCAAAAACAGAAGGTGTAAGGAGGGTGCGGAAGCAGTCAGGCATGCAAGGGTTGTAGAAGCCGGCAAAGACCCGAGGAAAAGAACGGAAGGGGGAACGAGCAAAATGTGAGGATATCCCAAGTACTCAGGCAGGGAGACCAGGGCCCTGTAAGCCTTATCTATGAATGAGGGATGTAATAAATACATTGACCAAGGACTCGAAACCGAACAGAACCGTGAACCCAAGAGGGGCGAGTGAAAAAACGGCAAAGGGGGCTCATGTGAACAGGGTGAATCAACAAAGCGAGCGAAAGAGGAACTGCACGCCAGAGTGACCAGCAAAGCAGGCGATATGAAGAAAACAGAACAAACAAAGTAGGTACGTGGCCAGACAGGCGTAATGGACGGGGGGGAGCAGCTCAGGCGCCGACGGGGGAGCAGGGGGACCAGTGAGTAAAACGATGAGCGCACAAGAGGTGGACGGACGCGAGAGAGTTCAGAACAAGTTGCAGGGGCAAGAAAAAGAAGAGGGGCAGGGAGAAGGTGCAGGCCAAACAAAAGAGTGGGAAGGAAACAGCACGCGGCGGCACAGAGGCCCCGAGTGCAAGCCGGAGAAGTAAGACGTGAGAGCAAGAGAGGCCGGAGAGAACGGGTATAGCGGATGGAAAAGACGGTCGACGGCGCAACTAGGAGAGAGGGCAAGTCGTGGAGCCCGGGCGCATCGAATGATGATCGATAAACATAATCCGAAGGGAATGAGGCCGAAATAGGAGGAACGAGAATAGCGACACTCAGACGAGTACATGGGCTAGCGGGTAGTACGAACACTTCAGCGCAGCGACTGACGTTCGCTATGGCGAGGGGCAAAGAGATACAAAAAAACGCACGAAACACATGAAGAGCAAGTATGCGGAGCACTAACCCCTAGAGGGGGCGTTGATGGATACGAAACGACACTACGGAAAGGCAACACCCAGAAAAAGGCGGGCGCAAGAGGGGACAAAAGAGCTTGAGGCGAGAGCTGCGGATAAGTATCCTACGGGGAAAAAGGCAAGCAGGAACTGCCGCACGCAGAGGGAAGGGCTGTGAGCGATCTAAAACCATTGAGAGAGCACTGGGATATGGGGGAGGCAACAGGAGGAGTAGAGAGGAACACGTGCGAGAGATACCGGGTGGGGTAGAGGATCACGGCAGGGAGTACAGCAGACGGCAGGTAGGGCGCTACGAAGTGGGTGATTACCGCATGACGAGGGGGAGGCAGTGTGGGGAAGGACTGAGGGACCTTTGGGGAGAACCCGACAAAAGTGGCAGATGAAACGCCGGAGAGCGACGAGAGCGGTGACTCGGAAGGAAGGCAGAAAAGGAACAAGAGGGGAAGGTAGACGAGAAGAGAATGAGGATAGCCTATTGCGCACCACCTTTTCCAACGTGTTTCTCAGTCTGTTCCTCCCTTCTCTCCTCACCCCCCCTCTCCTTCAACTCCCCCCACCCTCACTGCACGAGTTCTTCCCTCGAACTCTATTTGAAGGAGTGGAGAAGTAATATTAAAGAAGTGTGCCTGAGGCTATTTGTTGTTGTGGTCGTCATGGAAACGATGTTACACACATGCGCACCAAGTTTCATCTCCATGCGTGGTACTGTTAGCTAGTTTGAGGAGTGAAGATGTAATTTTAAAGAAAAGTGCCTGTTGTGGTCGTCATGGAAACGATGTAACGCTCTGTGTATCTTGAAGGCACAAGAAGTCACATCAAAGGGCGTGTATCGACTCCCACATGCTATCCACTACTGTAGCTAGCCAGTGTCAGACTCTCCGCGAGCTACATATACTAGCGGGAGACCACGGAGTAAACGCATGAATAGCCCAGCCCATCAATTAGCAGTATCGCGTGCATGCGCAGTTCGCCGAGGGTTTGCACTTCAGTGCTTTCATTTACAAACATGTATTGTTGTTATTTTGATGTTGGGTATTGAATACATTGTGTATACAAACTTTCGCTCACATAACTCTTACCAATTGGGAGTTATACTGACACATGTAGTATGCCCATTATAATGTATTGCCTGGGGCAAATTTTTTTTTTGTTTGACGTTGCACATGTGGTTATCGATACGTACATTCCTACAAAATTTCATGGCTTTATCTTTTTCGGTTTTTGAGTTACGCTGGTTTAAGAAGAAGAAGATGATGAACAAAACTCCCTATCATAGCCCCATACATCTAAGTACTACCGTACTTAGTGATTATGTAGAAGTCCTGTAAGAGGAATATTTCGTCCTCTGATAGACCAATCTGATGTCAGAACCCACTATAAGCCAGGCTCTAAACAAGTAGGCATTTTTTAGGATAGGATCAGTCTAATATGTCATAAGTTGGATCTGATTGAAACTGAAAGTGAAACGTACAAATCTCAAATGTATGGGCATAATGCAGGACAACCTGTGTCATCCATATATACTAAGTACTACCGTACTTCGTGATAACTACAGAAAAAGCCTTACCACTAAATCCCGCAGTTACAATAGTATTCTTTCCTTGCCACAAAATTGACTCTACAGGGGAATCTAAACGTCCTGGGATCCAATTGTCCATAAAATACGTCGATCCATCTACAGTACACCACACCTAAAATACGAGCAACCTGAAGATAATTTAATTTATATTACAAAGTACATAAATGTAGCACCTCTATAGATCCGTTGGTCCTGGACACTGCAAGCTTCGGGGACGTCGGATGATTACAAAACCGCACACACCGAATTGGGGATGGCACTAGCTGCAAAAACTTCACATGGTCAACCTCCATCGAAACCTACACGGCTAACGAGACTAACCACGTGTAGGTCCCCCTTGCCACGCCTACAACACCAGACGCGCACCCTGCACTTACAACTTTAGAGGGCGTGGTCTGGGCCCTGGAGTAATGGACGGGGACCTCGCCTTTGCGGACGATATTCCAGAAGAGTATATGTGCCGCATATGCCTCTGTCTGCTCAGTGATCCTCACCTTACAACTTGCTGCGGTCACCATTTTTGTAAGGGCTGCATTTTCAAGGTAGCCCAGGCAAACAAATCTTGTCCGATTTGTAAAACCGAGGGGTTTGTGGCAGTCGTCGATAAAAACGTACAGCGAAAAATCCGTGCATTGACGGTTCGATGCAGGTTTTATGAAAAAGGTTGCTGTTGGGTAGGAGAAGTACGAGATCTACCGGAGCACCTTGATCCAACCCGACGCCAGTGCGAGTTCAACGAAGTCCTCTGCCCTAAAGGTTGCGGTGCGCATGTGCCATGTTCTGATGTTGAGTTTCACCTCCGTAACGATTGTCCGAACCGAGACGAGGAGTGTGGATTTTGCAAGACAATTATCCCATTTTCCTACATGTCCAAACACCATGAGGTCGAATGCCAAAACACGCCTGTACTTTGTCCAAATGGTTGCTCTGAATCAGTACATCGTGTGTCTCTCCAAAAACACCTTTATGAATGTCCAATGAGATTGGTTGTTTGTAATTTCTCAACATTTGGCTGTACTGCTAAGATTCATTGGTGTCGTATGGCAACACACATGAATGAGTGGTCGCAAAAGCACCTTTCTATGCTAGCCACCTGTTGTTCTAGCCTCCAAAAAGACCTTGCAATAAAAGATGCCCAGGTAACACACCTATCAACACAGCTGATTCAGCAGGAGAAAGTGATCAATGGTCTAAAAAAAGAATTTTCTCTACATCAAAACAGTTCTACAATAATGCTTCTGCAACAATTTCAGGAAAAGATAGGTTTGATAGAAGAGACATGTAGGTCACAAGCAGTTCTGAGAGAGCCAGCTTTCCTAGAAGAAATGAAGCATCGCATCAAGATGTTGGAAACACAAGTACCAGTCCCTCCTTACTATTTCACTGTGTCAAATTTTGCACTTCACAAGCAGGGGGGTACACACTGGACATGTCCGGCTTTCTTTTCACGCATTGGGGGCTATAAAATGGCCATAGAAGTTTCCGCCAATGGTGAAGGGGTGGGAAAAGACACACATGTCTCTGTCTATATCCGAATCATGCGTGGTGAATATGACGACATGCTGCAATGGCCATTGAGGGCTAGTGTTACCATACAGCTGATTTCCCAGTCTGGAAGTGAAGCCCACTATGAGATGTCCACACCACAGTATGAATGGGCACAAGTAACTAATGGAGTTGTGGGTGTAGGCTGGGGCTGGGACAAGTTCATTCATCACGGAGAATTGGAGTATAACACTGTGAGAAGAACTCAATACCTCAAGAATGACAGGCTAAACTTCCGAGCTATTTGTGTTGATGAGATTTGCTAAGCTGCTTTGTGTTTGTAACCATTATACTGTTATCCACTTTGGTGTTAGGACACATAGTCAGAGCAACATGGTACCTTCGCGAAAAGACCAGAGACCATTGTGGGCTGATCCATCAGTATACAATTTCTGTCTTACTTCCTACCTTCAGTGACACCCTGCAGACAGCTGCTCCTGAATATATACTGGGATTAACACGGTGAACCTCTGACATCAAATACAGCACTAAAATCACTCTCCTATACAATTCACTACTATAATTATAATAGGGTGCTTTCCTGGTCTCAACTGATCCCAAATTCAAAGCTTTCCCAGTAGTTAACTGCCCTACTTTTGCACTCCACGAGTCATGTGCTCAGACCCTGTACCAGTTAATTCTGCCCTCACAACTTTTTAAACCCCTTAGCAATTATTATGGAACAGGAGGCCTTCTCTCAACTATACTGGCCCTGACCGACCATGCGTGAGAAGCTCCCCCACCATCACCGCTCAAATTCTACACAATGCACTTTCCTGATATTCATCCTCAAATGTGGGAAACTTGCTTTCTTTTTCACTTTCCATCAATAGCTGCATAACTATACAGTTACAACTCTTCTAAACCTTACTGGAAACAGGTGTTAATGGCATTAGTAATTTTGTAAAAATTCAAAATACATAATTATAATAAAAATTCATGATAGAGTGTCTAATATATATAGCAAACCAGCATTATCAATTGTTACAAAGGTACTAAAATCCGGTGAAAAACGAATATACTTTCCAAAAGAGCCTTTGAGCCGTATCGTCTTTAAGTGTTTCCCAGTTATGCTCCACCACTGAATTGGAGAGAGGTAGAGAGAGGTATCGTACAAATTGTGAACACACTGACTCTCCAACCCATGAAAATCCCATTGTAGGAAACCTGCGTACTTCACTCTCTCCATGATTCTTGATGTTTAATGTCAAATGCTGACAGCTTCAGATGCACAAATAGCTGTTCCTTACTCAAGCTTTGTAACAGCATTATGAAAAATTGGTCTTCACATGTAAACTTAATGTGTATTGCTACAAACAACAGAACAACAGTTACTTCACTGTACCTCAATGGTATCGCAAAGTGTGACCACCTTATCTCCACCTGGAGAGAATCCAACATCTATCATCCAGTAAGAAGAGTTGGTGGAGCAATGGGAAATCTCCTGGCTGCTCTGCAGTGTTGACACTTGCCATATCTGCATATTTAGAGGATCTTCTGATACATATGTCATGCATGAGAACACGCCCGTACATGAAACTTGACACATTGGGCACTCAAGCACATCACAGGGCTGCAAACAGCTAGAAGGGGCAATCTCAATAATCTTTTAAGAAGGGGATATGGTAACTATTGGGGTATAGCTCTACTGAGTGTGGTAGGTTTCTGAACAGCATCAGGCAGGCATCAGGGAAAATAGGATGTGTTTAAATCACTAGATACAGTAGTACTTTAGTAGAAGGGTTGGGCAAAGTCTATTCACCTTCAGCAGAACCAATAGATGTATGGAACTACTGATAAGGAATTTTGTTCATCTCCTCCTTCTTAAGACCCACAAGTAAAAAAGGAAATGTACTTTCTTAGAATATAGTAGATAATCTGAAAGGACTGGTCATACTTACTTTAATACAACATTGTTTTCTGTAAACAACCAAAAACAGGCCAAAGAGCAACATCTATTTGTATTAGCCTAAGTAACAAATGAGATGAATGTGGTTTGTATACATTTTCATAGGTGTATGATTTAATATTTGTCTGAATGTATGTATGTTGTGTGTTTGGAAGCTGGTGATAAATTCTCCTAATGACACTTTTTGATTTATTAGCCTCAGGCACTATTCTTTCCTCAAAGCTGCTAACAATAGCATGCATGAAGCTAAAACTTGGTATGCATATCTACGTACATGTACTAGTCTGGTTCCCAGCACCTTCTTCTTGGGAGAGAGAGAAGGGGTCTATTAAATAGCTTTGCTGGAGTGCGAAGCGAATGTTAGAAGGCCAAATAAACTACAAGCTTCGTCAGCGTGTCAGCAAAATACGGAAAAACTAGAAGCAGCCATGGTAATAGCTGCTTAAAAGTATTTTTTAATCACTCAGGCAGCAATTGTCACCGTCAAACAAGAGGGACATATTTTTGCCCACATAAACCTCACTGATTTAAGCCATAATGGACCTGGTAGATGTGGCTGAGGATACGTAACTTGTTATTGTAGCTAGTTATAGCTGAAGAACTGCAAAAATAGTGTTAAACATTCCTAGACTACATTACGTAGCTATTAATTTACTCGTGTGTTAACATTCCTTCCCTCTCTTGCGCACAAAACTTTATTGTAGCTAGTTATACCTGAATAATTACAAAAATCGTGTTAAAATTCCCTAGACTATATACATTACGTAGCTATTAATTTACTTGTGTGTTAACATTATTTCCCTCTCTTGCGCACAAAAGCAGGGCACTGGGAGCCAAACTACTTGATACCTGGAGAACTGTACCGTTTTGGACACTTCATTAAAACACTTAACATTTGACATCAAACAGAATTATTCACTACAGGTTCTACGCATGTACTGTGCTACGTAACCTTTAAAGCTCCATCATCAAAACCAGCTGCTGCTACACATCCATTCGGTGACAAGGCACATGAACGGGCACATGGGGAGCGTAGTGGTACTTGAGATATAAGTAAAGGCTCTCCAGTCACCATACACCACACCTACATAATATAGACAGTTTGAGAAACTATTCTCTATAGTGCATAGGTGAAATTATTACCATAACAAGACCAGCCGAGTTAGACGCTACTAATCTTCTATTGTCTTGTGAAAGATTAAGGCAGAGAATAATACTGTCTTCACATTCAACTATTCCACTGCATAGCATGGCTTCATCACCTGTTTCAGCGTACCACACCTACAGTACAATGCAATTAAAAATGGTTTAGTAAAGCACAACGAACGTACAATAACTCCTTTTTCTTGTGCTGAAGCAAGTTTATGACTGTCCTGAAAGAAAATCACTGGCTTGACACCTAGTCCTGAGCCATTGATTACAGCTAGGCTATCACCAGATTGTACAGACCATGTCTGTTGAAATAGAACAACACATGTTCAGCCAAATAATGCTGTATTTGATACTGACAAATCTACAAACCTTGTGTTGAGTCTCTGAACAGGTTACAAGCTTTGAATTGTCTGGACTGAAAAATGCTTTTCTAATTGTACTCTTGTGGGCACATTCCACATGCCAGAGTTCTTGGCACACAAATACATGTCCTTCCTTCAACACAGAAATAACCTGCAGTAAATATGAAAAGCATGTTGGCTCTGGTCATCAATGCGACATGGGTGTAGTCAGCAAGCACACTGAACTCAATACTCCCGCCCGAGCTGTAATATCTGATGCCTCTACAGCCAACAAAACACAAGCACGTAAGTATTTTTGGATGATACATTTATATGTAGAACCTTTGCAGTCTTAGTGGTAGGTATTGCAATGGTATTGTGACAATGCAGGTGAATTTTAGAGTAAGTAATTCAGGTTTTCCCCGTGAATTAGGTAAACATTTGTATAGATGTATTGCAAACAGTAAGAGCATTGAAAACCAAATTGTTCCGTGTCTTCTTCGGAACTCAACACTGCAATGTACATATGAGTCACCAGCACTAGACTATGGAAGGTCTATTATTAGCTGATCTTGTTGAAAAAAGGTTACAGGCAAGAGGTTGTCAGCTATTCAATGACGAAACCGCACCATCCGCATTTCTAGGAGCAATTAAGGGCTGTGTAAAATACATCCCTATCCTTCAAAATAAACGGGTCAGTGAAGAGAGGTACATATAAGGATTAACTTCCCTTCTACGAAAAAGGTCATATGCATAGATTGATGCTGGAGTTAGCCCTCCTCAATGGGATACTGTCTCCAGTAAACATAGCTGATATCCAGCCCTAGCCCATTGTCCTCACCTACTAGGATTGTGTATGGCATTTCTGGACATGAATGCCAGTCTGCACACGATTTACATATTCAGTATACCTGTAGAGCACCATCCTCAAATCCAACAACAATAAGATTTCCATCACTGGAAAGGTTCCATGATCTTGGAGTCCGTCCAAATAGAGTTAAAACTGCAGGAACTACAACATTGGCCTTGGATCCCTGGACCAGCTGGGTTTAACAAAAGCATAATTATGTAAGAGAATGGTAAGATACAACCATAGCAATACAGTCATTGACCATGCACAAAGAACACTGGAAAGAGCCAGACACACATACCCATGGAAATATTTTGGTGTGTATATTATCTAGACCACCATGTAAATTAAAATTACTGCACATTTCAAAAAAGAGGCATAGAGGGATGGTATAAAAAGAAAGGGAGAGAAGATAGGGATGGGATACATGAAGCATCGTTAATCAACAGATTTGAGCACACTGACACCCCGGCCCCATTACACAATCGTTATATTGTTGCCTGGTGTGCCACTCGTAAAATCCATTTGGACTATTTAGTGCTGGCTAGGGGCAGCACTAAGGCAAAAATACTGCACACGGCACTTTTCATCACTCTCTCCAGAAACTAGTGAGCCTGTCAGTCCAACCCTCCCTAGGCGGCTTAAAGATAGCACAGAAATTCCAACTCTACAACTGACACACTGTAACTGCTGTGGGTATAATACCAAAGACCACCACCTGGGCACAGCTATGTATTATCCTCAATTATGCTGTAACAACTATTCTTAGAGATGCAAACACTCCTATTTTGTTATGGCAGAAAGCGGCAGAATGAACTCCTTGCACCTGTTTTTATATATTAGTTGCTGTGTTCATAAATGATTCTTCTAAATTGTCCTTTAACCTACAACTTCAAATACAGAATTCATAACAGTTCTAAAGAATACAACTACACTTTACCTGGAGATATTTAAGCTTGCGGTTATAGCACAGAACTCTAGCAGAGTACCCACTGTCGTGCTCTTTGAATTGCGCAGAGAAGCGTCTGTGGTAGTGGGCATGTGATACTTTTGACCGTGAAGAGGGAGCACCTTCTCTTTCATCATTCCATTGAATCTGGAGTGCCAAATCAGTCTTACAACTTTATACTTCATATTTGAATTTGCACAAAATCATGAGAAAAAACTGTGTGAGCCTTGAGGCAAAGACAAAAGGACCCATAAATATAGAGCTGCTCAGGTTTTCTAATGCAATTTTCAGCACCTGGATATACACACGTTTTTGTTTCTCCCTTGTAAGTTTAGTAGATTGTGTGTAATTATGAATACAGCCATACAATAGATTTTGGGAGATGTAAAGTTCACAGATCTAAACAAAACGGTTGTTCTTTGAGTGCTGATCCCACATGGATGTTTGTGGTGAGGAAGGCAGATGGGCTAGAGGACGATTTTGCTCAATACTACGTATGTTGTCTAGCAATAACACCTGGGATATGTACATTAGCAAGTGAAGTGAGCCCACACATGAAAATGCTGCCATTTTGCACTCAGGTTAACTCACCAAAAACAACAGACTCCCTCACATGTATGTATATACCAGTTTTGTGCCCAAGACCTACAATAATGTATGACCTGGGGCTAGTTATTTGCTGTTTACACCGTACTGTAGTGTTATTCAGGCCAGATAGGAATGAACGCCAATGCCATTGTACCCAGGAAGTCAGGAAGGCGGGCAAAAGAATAAATGAAGAAAGGCGAAACTTGCACAGAGTGACAACTAAAACACTTACGTACTTTTACGATACCATTATCAGCAGCAGATAGTATATGAGGCTGTGTTGGTGAATACAGTACACAATTAACATGGTCGGAGTGCAGCAGATACTCCTCCAACTGAGTACCATCAGACACTGACCAAACCTGAGAAATAAGAGGGGAGAGTGTAGCAATAACGTGTGACGTAATTTTCTGACACAGCCACAAGGTTTTGAGTTCTACTTTTACATAAGCGTTTTTCAATGTTTGGCAATGCATTTGCCCAGTTAAAGAGCTGACTTGCTTCATGGGCACAAACACATAATACACCACTACATATAACACCTTGTTGTGAACATATGTAATATGCAGATAACCTATTCATTAGGTCATGTCTAAGCGACTTTTGTGTGATTTCTAACCTCGATGATGTGAGCATATATGCATTGTCCACCGTGAAAACGTTTGCATAAATAGGAGAGTTTGGGGCATTGGTTAACCTAACTCACTAAAGACACAAAAGACAATGATTAGAAGACAATACAGAAAATTATGGAAAATCGGGTATTCGTATTCAACGACAGTAAGTACGCATGTAAGTCATCTGTAGCGGACAATCTCTGTGTGCTTCATCTATACAAGGAAATATTGTTGAACAAATCCGATTATATAGTAATTATGAGACACTCACAAGAACAGCTCCCTCAGTGTTCCCTGTAACCAGCCTTTCCTGGTCTGGTGAAAAGTCGCATGAAAGGACAGCACATGAATGTACCAATGTTTGTTTGCAGTTTTGGGAGGACAAGTTCCATATCTGCAATGGAAAGGGCACATTATAGGTCGAAGAAAAGTTGACTGTATACACTATTAATACCTTTGCAGAGAAGTCTCCTAAGCATGCTGTGGCTAAGAAACTCCCGATTTGATCAAACACACAGCAGCGCACTTGGGATTTGTGGCCTGATAGGGCACCCAGAAGTTTGCCACGAGTATTCCACACCTGTGCATGGAAAGTGCATACAATGAGGTAGAAATGCATATCCCAGTAACTTACGAGAACAGCACCAGTCTGGGTTCCAGTTACAACCATTGTTCCATCTGGGGAAAAAGCACAGCTTAGTACGCCCTCAGTTCCTGAAGGAGAGGCTGACCTGCAGAAAGGTATATACCTCCAATATTACACTAAGACAACTATCTTTAGGAACAATTAAACCCCACAAACCCCACATATATGAAGCAGTTACATTATTAAACAGCACATTGTGCCCAGCTTTCTTACTGATTACTCTATGATTCAGAAGAAAAACATTTTGGTACGTTTTAGTGCTAATCACAAGTACACTACACCTGCGTAACGCAAACACACCTGCAAGTTTGCCACCCCTCGTATAGGTGCACACATGCAGCTGAATTGTGCATGAAAAGGTGACTTGCAAGAAAAGCTGGAAACCGTGCTCAACTCATCGACTGATGACAAAAATACTTTAGGGTAGATGTTATAACGTATATCTCCACTAAGTTTACCTATAAAAAAACTGTTTGCATGTGGTATACTCACGCACCTCTGTGGTAGGTACACGGCAGGGAAAGAGGGTTTGCTCTCCATCAACACAGGAGAAACCAGAGGAGAAGGGGAACTGAGCCTCCACCTTGATATCACCTTGCCATTTAGTGGTTCCCACAGCTGTGTAACAAGTAGTGTACCCACATTCACTCCGACAATAATTAATTATTCAGCAGGAAAACATGTTTGTGTGCATGCTGACTTACATGCACAGAATATAATTACAATATGTTGTGTATATATGTTTCAGGATCACTGTACACACCATAATACAGGAGTCAATGTCGGCAGAGATGACCAGAGACTCATCTGGTGCTATGGCACAGCACTGTACTCCATATTGATGACCTTTGAACTCTAACATCAGTGGACTTTTCTTCACTCTCTCATTACCAGGAGCAATGCTAGTTTTGCGATGTGTCTCCCACACCTATTGAGACATGTAAAGGGCATTCTTTAAACTGACGTTTAGATTTGAAATAAGTGTATTTACACAATGAGGTGGAAATCCAAAGGACTACAATGTGAGCACAGGAGACCCTTCCCTGGGTGTGATTTAACATTGCAGAGTGACTATTTCTACTGAGCAATCAGGGCAGCTAAGGAGGTAAAGAGCATGTACAACATTCATACAAATGCATGGCTGAAAACCTTCAAAAATGAAAAGCAGTAAAGTGCAAACCCTCGGCAAACTGCGCATGTGTGGCACAGCTAATTGATTGGCTGGGCTATTAGTACTCGTCGTCTCCCGCTAGTAGCTCGCGGAGAGTCTGACACGGGCTAGCTACAGTAGTAGATAGCATGCGGGAGTTGATACATGCCCTTCGTTGTGACTTGTTGTGCCTTCAAGATACACAGAGCGAGCGGACCCGGTCGAGGTAAGTAGCCGGTGCTAATTAGCAATTGGCTTGTTCACTTGGTTTTCACACCATAACTTTAGAACACAGTACTTTTACAAAAATCGCTACAATTTATAAAATGAAGCCAGCGTAGCCAGCGTTGGTGTCGCTTTTTGGCCGGTTTGTTGCGCGTGGTGCCGCAGAAAACATGGTAACAGACACACACACAGACAGACAGACAGACAGACACACAGACCAACTACTATAACCCTCGTGCGCATGCGCGCCGAGGGTTAATTAATAACACGGCAGACAAGACAGGAATGATTCAGTATGTACCTAAGCAAAATGGGTTAAACTGTGAGGGGGTATACACTTGCATGATGTTTAACACACTGAAGTGCTGGCACACATGCATGGGATCATGCTGCAGTATACTTGTGGCTGACAAAGAAGAACCATCAGGATAAAATAAGTACAATTCTCTCTCCCTCTGCTGCTGTACTTCTTGGAGACCAATCTGGGAACTGTGTGTCTCTGAGCACTGATCAAGATAGGTTCGTAGGTCCACTGTATCTCTGAGCACTGAGCAAGATAGGCTCATAGGTCAACTGTACCTTTAAGCACTGAGCAAGATAGGCTCGTAGGTACACTTTATCTCTGAGCACTGAGCAAGATATCCCTCGGTCCAGGAAATCGTCCTGTATCTTCAAGCACAGAGAAAGGAAATCTCTGTGTGAACTCAGAGTTAATAACCTGTTCAAATCAAGCAAGCGAGCACTCAGTTAAGCTTACAGATCCAGAGTGAAGCATGTTTGCAACTTATCACACAATCCCAACAAGTCAGGGATCAAGCACTGTTCACAGACACCATTCTAATACCACTATATACATAACATTAAGCATTGATTAACCCTAGGGTGCATGCGCAGCGAGGGTTACTGTAGTTGTTGTGTGCGTCTGTCAGTCTGTCTGTCTTCTGTCAGTCAGTCAGTCAGTCCGGTACCCTTACATCTCCCTTCACAAGCCATCAATCGCTAAACAAAACGATACCATGTATTCAGCGCTGGATAAAAGTCGAAAATATGTGGGGTTTTCCTGAAACTGCTGTGTTCGGGAGTTACGGCGTCAAGCATGAGCGAAAAAACTTAATTAGAACAGGCTTAGCAGTCCGCTTGATCTTGAAGGCACAAGAAGTAACAACAAAGCGCAGTTTGCCGAGGGTTTGCCCTTCAGTGCTTTTTCATTTATGCTGTTATAATGGGATGGTTTGAAGAGCACAAATAGATAATGGTCCTCTTGATAGCTGGGACACAGAACTACGTAGTGCACATTTGTGTTCGTAATGTATGAATCAGGTGTTCAAAATGCATGAATCACTGGGACAATACTCTCACCGTTCAAAGGCAGACGTCTGAGCTAAGAAGACACAACTGAAAGTCTACTATACATTAGAACACAACATAAGGCAGAGTGCTCGCCAATGTAGACTGCAGAGTGTCATGGGTTCGAATCCCACCCAGGACAGCTCTTGAAAAAAAGAGTTGTCCTTGGTGTAGTTGATCTGTTTGCCTTTGCTTTGTCCTCGTTTTTGACATGCAGGTGTTTATGTACTGACTTACTCTGACTGTGTTGTCTTCAGAGCTTGAGACAACAAACTTCCCCGAGTTACTGAGGGCACAACATGTGACCATGTCACTATGACCTCGGAAATCAGCCAATTCCATTCCTGTGGATGCATCCCATAACTAAAGAGAAAACAAATGCAGCAGTAGAAAGCCACATGCTGAAGAATGAGGATATTTAATACTTTCTTGATGTTTATCAGTTGTCTTTTGGCAAGTAAAGAGAGCCTATTTGGTTGTCTGAATGAGTGGCCAACGAGGGCACTGTCTGTCGGACATACTATAATAATGAAAAGCACTAAAGTGCAAACCCTCGGCGAACTGCGCATGCGCGGTACCACTAATTGATGGGCTGGGCTTTTCTTTTCTTTACTCGTTGTATCCCGCTAGTAGCTCGCGGAGAGTCTGGTACGGGCTAGCTACAGTAGTAGATTGCATGCGGGAGTTGATACATGCCCTTCGTTGTGACTTCTTGTGCCTTGAAGATACACAGAGAGAGCGGACGCGGTCGAGGTAAGCCTGTGCCAATTTGCATATTAGCTCCTTGACTTGCTTTTCACGCCATAACTTTCGAACGCAGCATTTTTACCAAAATCGCTATTTTTAAAATAAAACCAGTGTGGCACTGAACCCGTTGGTAACGCTTTTTGGGCGTCTTGTTGCACGTAGCGGGAGAAAACGTGGTAACAGACAGACGGACGGACGCATGCGCGCCGAGGGTTTAATAATACTCAGGTGGCTGCCATAGCACTAGGGCCATAGACCACGCACCTAACAAACGAACATACACCATATG